AACACACCATACGACAGTGGCAGGACTGGCCAGAGGATAGACGGAAGACAGAGTCCATTATACTAATAATGACAACACCAGCATTACGCTGTAACTTAAACAAATCAAATATAACGCTCTCAGCAACGCTAAGATAGGAACTATTATTCTCCTCCATTTTACAGATGGGGAAACTGAGGGTCGGAAAGGTCAATGCACCGGATCAGAGTTGCACAGCTGTTAGGGGGCAGAGTGGGGATTAGAATCCTGGCAGTCTAGCTTCAGGCTATACTAGCTTCGGGTATGTGCTGACCCGAAGGCTGCTTATAGAGAAAGCAGGATGACTGACGAGGTACCCTGGCCACGCAGCCACTACAAGCAGGGCCCAAAGGTTCCGAACCTGAGCATCCGCTGCCCAAGGAGCAAGGCAGCCATCCTTAACTAACCCATGACACGGCCTCACAGCACAGAACGAGGACCCTCCTCCCCGGGTGGAGGGTGAAGGGGGAGTGCCCAGGAGACATAGTTTGGCTCCAAATCAAAGCTCTCCTTCAGCACAGACTCTCCAAGAATGAAGGCAGCTGCTGACTGGCATGCTGGCCCCACCGGTGCTGGAGGAGCCTGCAGAGGCCCAGCTGCCATCTGGAAATGATTTGGCCCAGAGATTCCTGAACCGGTGGGAGGCTGGAATGACCAGCCGCTCCGAGCTCCCATCCACCTCTCAGGAACAAAGCTGGTGTGAATGGGCCCTGGAGGCAGCCACAACATAACCAGGGGTCACCCCCTTCCAAAGAGGGGACAGCCTCTGGGCAGTCCATAACCCTATTACAGCAACAGGAATCAACATTAGCCAACCAAGCTGGTCTCCCCCGTGTGGTGCCGATTTTAAATGTCCTTTCAGCGTGCAAACCCTCCAGCGTGACTTTTGAGACTATTACTGGACAGCACCTTACTTATTTAACAAACACACAGCACCAACTATGTGCCACGAACTGTTCAGAGCACTTTAAAAAATATTAGCTTGTTTAGTTTTTATAACAACTTTTAAAGGAGGTAGTTATTATCCCCATTTAAGTTATAAGGAGACCAGTGCACAGAAATTTCTTAATAGCTACTTCGAGGCAAGTAGGATTTGAACCAAGAATCAGAGCTCTTAATTAGCTCACACCAATGTGTTACTTTGTTCCAAATGGCCCAGAACTTGTTAATTCTGACAAAGCATGCTACTCTGCTACCTTTTAAGCATTCTCTGGATATGAACTACATTGCCTGAAAGACACACTGGCATTTGCTAAGTAGTTACAGAAAAGAGCAGAATTTAGGATTATTTGTGCATTATTTTGGTCGGGGTGGGACACAAGGAAGGAAAACAGGGTGAGTGGTTGGGTGACCCACCACCCTGGAAACTCCACCCAGTGACCCGAGGTCTTGGGAACATACACCCCGCCCGCTCTGCGGTGCTGGCCTGGCACAGGTACCTTAAGCAAACATCAGGGTCGGACCACATCCTTTAAAAAGGAAAGAATTCCTTTTCGTAAAGGATCAAGCCAAAACACACCACCCAAACTTCTAGCCTGCCTTGATTGTCATTCTTGGGCTGGGAGACCCCTTCTTCTCCAAGTTGGCTGTGCTGCAGAAAGGCTTTTGGAAAAACAAGTAAATAAACCTGCCAGCTCCTGGCAGACAACTAGAATTAAAATATGCTGAGGCCTCACTATGAACTGCCCAGGATATAAGAAGGAACTTTAACTTGGGGATGGAGCCTAGGATGGGCCCACCTTACAAGGAATCACAAACGTGAACAGCCAGGGCTGTCTTTCAGGGAGTTGTAGGCAGAAAAGCCACAGTGCTCTGGCGACGTTTGACCACCTCATGTCACACAGCTGGCGCCTATAACCCAACTCTAATGATTCCCACAATGAAATACTGCTGGGAGTTATCCAGAGTATACAAAACCTTGTATTAGTTCAAAGATATCTTCCCAGATTATGGAACTGAAATGCTATCCTGTGAGTAGCAGGAAATCTCAAAAAAAACAGACCAAAAAAACCAGTGAAGACAAGGCGGCCATTCCCCCAGCAAATTCACCTCAACACAAGATGCAATATGCAACCTGAGTCTGCGCACCTCCCGACACGACACTCGTCTCACGGGCCCTCATCACAGTTCAGAGGACCAGCCTCATCCCTCACCTAAGGCCTTGCTTTGTTCGAGGCCAGACGCTCAACGTGTGGATGTCCAGCCACAACCCCAACACCCCAGACGTGCAAAACTTGGTGTTAACATGAGCTTTCTGAGGCGGGAAACTGGTTGTATTTTACTCATTTCTGACACTGAAAGGTAGGTCAGTTAAGGCTCAATTTCAACAACTCAGCAGACCTGGTTTACCAGCTGGGTGACCTCCACAAGTGACTTCCCTCCCGTTTCCCCAACTTTAAATGGACATACTAACACTAACAACCAGCACAGTAATAACAACAAACATTTTCTAAGCACTTGGCCAGGACTGGGGCAAGCGCTTAACCCTCCCAGGGACTTGCTAAAAGCAGATCATCATATAGACAAGGAAACCAGAACTCAAGGATTCAAGGTGGTGATCAATGGGGTAGGTGATGAACAGAACACGCTTAACACCGAGTGGGTGCCCCCAAATTGGAGCACGTGTCACTGTCAGCACAAGGTAACACAGCGTAGGCAGTGAAAGCTTGAACTGAAGTCCACGCTGGATGTGAATTTTTTCTGAAGGGCCTTTACTCACCATAGCCTCAGGAGCAGAGGGAAGAGGCCTCAGGCATTACCTGCTTAGGAGTCCTGGCACTTGGCAAGTTTCCCTCCAGCCTCCAGAGGCTGGAAAACCTGTTTGTTGTAAGGTCCTTCTGGAGAACACTTAGGCAGCCAATGACGGGAGTCATAAATGTGGTCACAACCTTTGACCCATGAATGCCACCCTGGAGAATATGATCCAAGAAGTTATTTAAAAGGAAAAAATAAAATAAAATGATGTAAATCATGGTGGGAAGAGGTCCATAGGCCACAACCAGGGAAGGGGAGGCGAACCCTGGCACGTCAGGACGATGGAAGACGCTAGGGCCTGGTTGGGTTCAGGAATGAAAATCATGAGGATCAAGGAGGAAAAGTAAGGGACCAGAAAAAGTCTAGAATGAGACCCCCAGTTTCGGGGCACTGATGCGAAGCCATGCTGGAGGCAGCTGCAGCCTCCATAAACAGTTGCTAAATTAGGCAGTCCAGGGTTTTCTGGTGCTGTGGTTTGGGTTTTGTTTGTTTTGTTTTGCTTTTTAAAGAGATTTCATGTCATGTTTGGATACTCCTGCTTTACTTTAAGTTTCTTTGTTCAGTTAATTAAATAAATATACAGTTTTAAAGCAAAGAAGAGATCCGAGTTGAGCCCAGCCAGCCCTTGAGATTCCTCCGAGGGAAAGCTGGTTTCTGCAAAGGAAAGAATTCCAACAGAAATCTGAGGTTCTCCTTCCCTCGTTACACGAGATGGGCCCACAAAATAAGACAGCGTGCCACCCGGCTTCCCTCTGCAGAGAAGCTGCCCTCGATGGGGAGGCTGACTGGGCTGTGGCAGCTGCCTGGACCCAGGAAGCAGCCCTACCTGCCAGGACAGGTGTGGGGGAGGACGGGAGAGAGGACGGAGGAGGCTCAGCCTAAAGGGAACCCGTCCTAGGCAGGAGAAAGTCCCAGCAGCCACACCCATGGCCCTTTCTTCCTGTCAGGGGGTCACTCTAAGGCCTGGTTTCCTCAGGAACAGACCTGAGACCCAGCCCTTGCTCCTCCCTGGCAAGAGGCTCACCTAGCAGAACACACACACACAACATAGGTGCACACACATTCTCTGCACACTTACATGCTCTGCACACACACTCTACACACTCGCACACTACACACCCCCTGCCCCTCCCATCACGGCCTCCACCCTCAGCAGCCTTGTGACCTTTCCCGAAGCCCTCAACCAGCCCAGGTCATAGTGGGACCTCACTCTCATTCTTCCTCCCCAGTTCCAGGGGGAGAGGAACCCGACACCAACTCCCTCCCTCCTCTCAGGAAGATCTTGGTGTGGGGAGGGCGGGGAGAGGAAGGCAAAGTCTCCTTTAATTGTCACCCACTTCCTTCAATTCTCCGCTAGACCCTCGCTAGCTTGGGCAAGCCCATTAACCCTCTGGACCTCCTTGTCTGTAAAATGGGTCTAATGACGCCCCAGCTCGCAGCATGTGTAAGGACCGAAATAAGGCTGTTGGAAGCCTGTTAGAAGGCTGCGCACTAGCTGGGACTCCCTACAAGGCGGCAGTTACTGTGACCACCACCATCTCTAAATTATACCTTCAGTGGCTGAGCAGCCGCGGCGCAGAGCCAGAGCTGAGCTGGGAGCAGAGGGAGCGAGGAAGACACACCCCCCCGAGGCTCCCCTTCCCACCTCGGGGACCCCACGCCTTTCGGCGACGGCGAGGTCCCCATCTCCACCTGGCGGGAGGGCCCCAAGTTCAGAGAACAGTCCCTCCCCAGGCCTCCCTACCTGGCCTCCGAGCCAACGCCCATTCCGCGGCCGCCGAGCGCAAAGGCCTGGGCGCAGCTGGGCGAGCACTCCGGGGAGCGTCTGACTAGGGCCCCAGCCCCAGGGACGGCGGACCAGAGGTCTCCAGTCCCCCAGCTCCCGCAGAGGCACCCCAGGTGCAGAGAAGTGCCACAGCCCCACCTCTCCCCGTGCGGCCCCGGCCCGAACCTTCAACCCACCGCCCCCCAGAGACGCACTGCCGGGGCGCACGGCGCGGAACTCTCACACGACAGCAGCACCCCAGGGGATGGCTCCCAGGAGGGGGCCTAGGGTCCCTTTGTCCTCATCCCTCGGGGACGACGTCCCCCGGCCTCGGAGCCCACACTCAGCCCGCGGCTGCTGGGCGCCGTGGGGTCGCGCGACAGGGAGCTTCAGCCCCCGCGGGGCGCACGCGCGGGGGCGCGAGGTGTACATCGCCGGCGCCTGGCCCAGCCAGGGCACTCACCGATGGACACGAGCTTGATGTTCTCACGGTCCAGGAACTCGAGCGCCACGGACACGTTCTCGAGCTGCATCTGGCGGAAGGTGGGCCGCTGGTGGTACTTGCGGTACATGTGCTTTTGGCTGAGCACCTCCAGAAGCGCGATGAGCCGCAGCCCGTCGCTCAGGTCGGTCTGCAGGTTCCCTATGCGTTTGTTCACGCACTTGAGGTGCTCGTTGCACCAACGCGTGAACGTGTTCTGCTGGATCTTCTTCCACGGCGCGTCCTCCGCCAGGTCCTTCTCAGTCACCGGCATCCTGGCGGCGGAGAGAGCAATATGCACAGCGAGCTGCCGGGGACAGGCGTAGGGAGGCCCAGGGGCCGGGGAAGCGAAAAACCGAAGCGGAGCGGGAGCGGGAGCGGGGCTCGAACTCGGTGCTTCCGAAGCCGCGGCCGGGGCTGCTCTGCGCTCGCCTGCCCGTGGCCGCGCGAGGCGTCTGGCCCCGCGCCTGCGCATTGAGCCGACCCGCCCCTGAAGCCCCGCCCCGTCCCAACCCTCTGGCGGGAGTTCCCGGGCCACGCTCTCCCCCTGCCGCTCAAAGAGGGCACTGCGTCCCGCGAACTGCAAGGCGTCCCGGGACGCCGCGCTCTGTGCTCACAGCCTCCGCTAAAGGAAGCTAGGCGGGAGACCCGCCAGGAGAGGGTCACCCGGTCCCAGAGTGAGGGGACGTGCAGAGGTAGGAACCTGGACAGAATGGGCAGGGACGGCCGTCTGGTTCACGGGGGAGGGGTTGGCGGGGAGGGGTATTTCATCCACCTACAGGTTCAGTAAGGTTCAATAAGGGCTTTATTGAGCTCCTGCTGTGTGCCAGCCTCTGTGTTAGGCGCTGGGGACACCGTGAAGGAAATGGACAACTTACATTTCATCTTAACTAAACTCATATGAATTATAATATCATTCATAGCATTTATTGAGTGCCTACTCTATGCCAGCCTTCTTAGCGCCTGCCAACCAATGGTAAATAAGAAAAATTTATAACTTAACCTTGAGGAGCTCATAGACTAATAGGAGAGAAAAGTATAAATCAACTATCACAGACAGCTTAATGGTACTGATAGAAATGAACAACAATTTGCTGTGTATATTAGTTTCCTAATGCTGCTGTAACAAATTACCAAAACTTTGTCTTTGAAAAAACCACACATTATTGGCACTTCCCTGGTGGTGCAGTGGTTAAGAATCCACCTGCCAATGCAGGGGACACGGGTTTGAGTCCTGGTCGGGAAGGATCCCACAGGCTGCAGAGCAACTAAGCCCGTGTGCCACACCTACTGAATCCCTTGCACCTAGAGCCCATGCTCTGCAACGGGAGAGGCCCACAGAGAAAGCCTGCGCGCAGCAACAAAGACCCAACGCAGCCAAAAATAAATAAACAAACTTCAAAAAAAACATACATTATTATCTGTAGTTTATAGAGTCCCTCACAGGTCTCACTGAGCTAAAATCAAAGCAATTGGCAGGATGCATTCCTTTCTGGAGGCTCTAGGGAAGAACCCATTTCTTTGCCTTTTCCAACTTCTAGAAGCTTCCCAAATTCCTTGTCTGAGGCCTATTCCTCCAACTTCAAAACCAGCAACACCAGGCAGAGTCTTTCTCATGCTGTCATCTCAGGTTATCCACAGTCACATGTTCCTCTAATTCTTTTTTTTTTTTTTTTTTTGCAGTACACGGGCCTCTCACTGCTGTGGCCTCCCCCGCTGCAGAGCACAGGCTCCAGACGCGCAGGCCCAGCGGCCATGGCTCACGGGCCCAGCCGCTCCGCGGCACGTGGGATCCTCCCGGACCGGGGCACAAACCCGCGTCCCTTGCATCAGCAGGTGGACCCCCAACCACCGTGCCACCAGGGAAGCCCCCTCTAATTCTTTTAAGGACCCAGCTGGGAAGAGGGGTTGGGCAGGATGAATACATATCAAGGGCTTCCAGCCCTAGGAGAAGTCAGCAGATTTGTGGTGACATTCTGTAACAGGTCATTTGTATACAAGGTGAAGTGCTTTCTTCAGACAGATTGCTGCACTGGAAATGCTCAAAACCACCTTGGGGGAAAGACAGCATTGCCTGGCCCTGGCCCATTGTTGGGATCAGTAACTATCTGAAGTCTCATTCCCCTCCTTAGTGGTTAAGTGAAGACACGTGCTGGAGGTCAGCTGATAAGCACTAGACAAAGCTGGACTTGTACCTGGGTTTAACGCCAAAGTCTGTACTACGCCTCAAAGACCCCATGCTGTTCCCAGCCTGGGCCTTGCCTTTGTCCACACAATCTGAGCAACAGATTCACTAGAGGCAGTTTAGGTAATCTTACTTACCCCATGCCCAAGGCTTCTGGTTCCTCATGCTTTCCTCCATCCGAAGGCATCTATCAAAACTTATCAGCCAGCGTCTCACTCTGAAGGGGACCTCCTCCCTGCTAGGTGAGACTGGAGCTAATGTGATCAACTCAGCTCACTCAGCAGCTGATAATGTACTAAGGTTCTCCTTTCTTACGAGATATTTCTGTTTTCACCAGGTCTTGACACACATAACTAAATAAGTTCTGCATCTAAATATCCAGTCCACTTCACTCTGAGCTGAGACATCCCTGTCTTAGGATGAAGCTGGTGATTCTCTCCAGTCAATCAGAAGACACTTAAGAGTTCCCTAGGAAGCAGTTTATGGGGAGTGAAGGGGATTCAGCAACCTTGGTGGAGGAGGGTGGTCAGTGGCTTTGGTGACAAGGAGAGGAAGCAGAAAAGGTCTTCAAATGGCTCTTTATCAATATGTGATAAAAGATGAGGGCTGAACAACTCAGGGCAGGCATTTCTGCAGGGAGCGTTTTAGCCAATGCATTCCACAGTTTTGCTGACAAGGCCTTCACTTCAAACACCCAATCTGTTTTCTAAATTTTTTTCCTAGGCTTCTTTGATCTCTTCTTGGTAGAACCATCCAGAATGGAAGAGTATAGGGAAGAGAAAGGTTCAGGCTTTCGGTGTGAATTCTGGCTACCCTGGCTCGATGACCTCGAACAAATAACCTCAGCAAGCGTGTTTTCTCATCCGGGAAATGGAGCCAACACATCAACTCCTGGGGTTATTAAATAATGCAAGCAAAACTCTTAGCAGAGTGCCTGGAATACCATCAGCGCTCAATAAATGTAACTGAAAACTGGGCAAAATTAACAGAGACTTCTCAACCAGACGCTGAAAAATCTAGAATTAGCTGCATTTTCCCAGACTCCAGTCTGTCTCTGTAAGAAGCCAAGGCTCCTCTCCATGTCTGTTACCCACAGATGTTGACACCAATCTGTTCCAGCCCCGCGAGATCCCAGTCAGAAGGAACTGACAAAGAAAACATAAGTCGAGCAGTAACCCCTACATGTCAGGATGGACCTGACAAGACAACAGCAAATTCACAGACATCCACAAGGAAGAGTCTACCTGTACCTGAAGATGAACATCGGGTGGAAGGTTGGAGCACTGTGAGCCTGCTTCTCAAAGTTGTGCGATTTGCCAGGTCAGCCCATGGGAGTAGGATTGGAGGGAGCTCTTCTACCCAGGCAAGCGTGCAGAAGTTCCTCCAATCCCACTTCCAGGCCTTTGCTCAGGCAGTCCCTCCGTCAAGAGTGCTCTCATCTCTCCCCTCCAACTTGGAAAAAGCGTGCCCATCCCCCAGTCCCCTCACCCTCACAGCTTGTGTGGTCCCAATGCTTGTTTTATGCTGAAGTTTACTTGCTGTTTTCACTTGCTGAAGGAGGGCAACTGTCATCTCTGTCCCCTTGCAAGATGCAAGGGTTTTAAGACATAACAGAGCCTGCACTGTCCAACATAAGTATGATGAGAGCCACACTGTAACTTTAAATGTTCTAATGATACCAAAGAGTTATTAAGTACCCTTTAAAAAGTAAAAGGAAAAAAAAAAAAGTAAAAGGGAGCTTCCCAGTTTCCCTCCCTGGTCTGGGAGCTAGATCCCACGTGCACACCGTACGTAACAAGGAGTTCGCGTACCACAACTAAGGAGCCGGTGAGCCACAACTAAGGAGTCTGCCTGCCACAACTAAGACCAAATGCAACCAAATAAATTTAAAAAAAAAAGAGGTGTAATAATAATAGTGGTAGTATAGTTGTAATAGTAATAATAATAACAGAAGCTTCTGCTTCTTAAGTAGTGTTATTCTCATTTAATCATCACAACAACTCCAGGAGGTGTTGTTATTATCCCCATTTTACAGGTAAGGAAACTGAGGCTGAGAGAAGTAGTCATATGCCTAAGGTCACAGAGTGACAGAGACTGGATACTAAGTAAAGACTAAGAAAGGCAATAGTCATGATTAAGAGCAGGGACCTGCAGCTGCCCCTGACTTTATTTCCTTACCTGTAATCTACATTAACAATGTACCTCCTAGGAGTTTCTGACAAATGGGAAGCTAGATGTATAGCACTTAGCATGTACATGTCAGCTGAGAGAGCTGATACTCCTATTATTGTCATGATTATGTGACAATGTGAGTGGACATCAAGGAGGAAGACTGAAAGTTCCAGGTTTGGAAGCCTGCTTTCCAAAGGGAACAGAGGCGAAGACGAAGAACCAGGACTTGCAAAATAAATTTCTGTTCTCCCCAGATGCATCTTTCCCCCAGGGCAGGGTCCTTCTCAGCTGTAATTTTACACCAATGTCCACACCCTGCCAGAAAGAAAGAGAGCAAAATGTAAACGAGAATATTTGCTCTGTCTCCACCCCCTAGAGAAAGAGGAGCTGGTTCTCTTCGCAGCTCCCTGGAGAAGTGGGAGGGTTCACGCTCCACTGCCAGCCCCGACTGCAAAGGTCCTGGGACCATGTGAGTGGGGTGCTGGAAGGAAGCCCACTCTGGTGGGGAGAGCAGGGAGGGCTGCTGGGAGATCTGGCCTTCCCCCAAAAAAGGTGGCAAAAGGCAGTAGCAGCGTGCAGGGGCCCCACTAGCCAGCCCTGCCCTGAGATTAGGTGAGGCTGCTACTGGGAGAAGGCACAGATCTTCACCCCACTCACCCACCTCCTAAGGTGGAAATCAAAATGGGCAGAGCAGTGATCACGAAAGCCATTCTTTACTGGATTCACACAATGGGCTACGTGACTGTGGTTTTAGCTCTATTCTCTCCTTTGATCCTACAGCTGTAGTAACTGGCCACTTCCTAGTGCTAGATACTAAGCTAAGCATGTCCGTGAGTTATCTTTCTTAATCGTCTCAAAAACACTGTGAGCTTGGTGCTATTGTTATCAGCCCAATATTACAAGTAGGGAAATTGAGGCTGCAAAAAAAAAAATCAGTTCACTTTCTCAGAGTCCCTTGGGAATGAGGTGTCAGATTCTGGATTCAAACCCTGGTCTCACCAACTCCAGAGGCCAGTTCTGAGTCTCTAAGCTCATCAGGCTCTCAGAGCCCACAGCCCTGACTT